CCATGACTGCCCTTTTCATACTGTCTTCACTGCTTTTAGGACCAACTATTGGTCTCCAAATAATCTTTTTCTACAACAGGAGGAAGAAGACCAGATGATCACTGTGTTGGATTTTCTCATTTTTCTTTCGATCCTTAGGTTCTCAGATCTTCTAATCCAAAGTACTAAAGTAGAGGGCAACTGTTATGGGTGCAAAGGAAGTGACCACGCCCTAGACAAATAACAAGGTGTGATCACCAAGATCAAGGTATGAATGGGGAGTTCTTTTGGGGAAACCTGGGGGGTTGGTGTGTGCCCATTGGAATCTGTCCGTTTGATCAAAGACAGTAGAGTTTTCTGGGGAAGAACAGGCCTAAACCAGGGGTCAACGGGGGAAAAAAAACAACAACTTACCTGTAGGGATTCCAAATCGATGCACCGTCACGATAACATCTTCATGGTCTGTGTAAAAACATATAGAAATTAGATCATTTGAGTTTGACATTTGTTGTGTTTTCAGCTACCAAAACCATACACTGTTGCTTGTAACACCAAAGTACTTCATTATATTTATTGTAGTATAATATGACTGCTATGACTCGTTCCATTGGATAATGATGCATTGTGGAAAAAGCTGAGCCAAGTTCAATATTGTTTTTCATGTTTTTTTCTGACAACTGTTTGTTCTCTATTTTCTTCCAGAGCAGTCTGGTTTGGCACCCCCGCTGGGCTGGTGCAGCAGTAGCTGCACTGAAAATAATGAGAAAATACATTTTTTCACATTTGGCTGTTAAAGTCTGACAACGACCACATTTGGTACTCAGACACATGTAAACAGCATTGACTGTTGTGAACTGCCTTAAAAAAATTGTTTTGTTTTTTTTATGTATCAAAGTTATATGTGGCCCAAGAGTTGAACTGGTTTTGAACAACAAAGAAAGCTTCACGGTAAGTGATACCTGTGATGGACTGGTGACCTGTCCAGGGTTTTGCACCACCCTCAGCATACGAGTGTTTCAATTGGCTCCAGTCCTCTGTGAGCCTGGAAGAAAGTGAGCAGGAGATGAATTATTAAATGAAGGGTATTGCCAGTTCTGTGTTAGTTGTCTCTTCATTAGATCTGACGATTATAAGAATATTGAGGTCATCTGCCTTGTGGTTCAAAGATCTGTGTCTAAACGCTCTTCTTCTGTCCCTATACAGCATATGAATGAATCTATAAAAGCATTTTTCTTCACCACGCCCAATATCATCTGTCTAATGTACTTTTTTTTTCAAACGAGTTCCCATTCCTAGAGAAAAATAAACTGGACTAGTTTTGAAGACTTACTTAAAACAACCTATTATAAACAACCTCAAATAGCTACCAACATTTTATTTACCAAAATATCTGCATTGATTTTTAGGAAAAGTATTATTATCCGAATCCGCAATTAGGCCAATATCATTTTAAGTCTTTTGTTTTGTTGTCTAAACAAAGGGAATATCTTGTCCACCATTTAAAATTTCAACCTATTGATGTTATGGTATTTTTCTTGTGTTAGGTTTGGTGTAGAGTTGTAACGAATTCCTTTATTTCAAGTCTAACCATTATAACAAATCAGCTACTTCTAGAAAAGTCTTCAACCAGCATCTGTCTTTCCTATTATATGTATTTTGACGCCCTTATCCACTGGGAGGGTGGGCTGGTGGATGGACCAACAATGCCTAACCTGACCCGGCTGCAGGCAACCACTAAAGTGTGTCTATTCTCGCTGCAGATCGGGACAACTGTGCCCAAAGCTTTCCCCATAATGACATCATACAGAGACATTTTTAGTATTAAAGTAATATTTCACATACTATGATCATTTTCACATGAAGAGTTGAACACTACCTTAGCAGTCCATAAATACTGTGAAATGTACCATTAACATCAGTGCCCTTAAATACACACAGCCCTCAGCGTTCAGCACTCGTGGCCCTAGCCATGAGATAGGACATAAATCAGGACACACACATTGACACCTTCACCCTTTAAGTGACTTTCGGTTTCTGTATTTTTTTTACATTATATACACATGCCCTAAATCATTTTCCTACTACACTTTCAGTTCCACAAGAGAAAAATGAATGAATGTTACAGGGGAAAAAAATCTTTCAATATCAATAAGCTGATGGACATTCGATAGTAATAGAAATGCGAAGTTAGGAGATAAAGTTTAAGATTAGAGGGATGGTTTGGACATGAGCGGAGGATAGCGAATGTATAGGACAATAGGGGTTGGAGATGGAGTTGCCAGGCCAAGGAGACATATGATAAATTGTGTTGTGAAAGAGGACATTGGGATTGGTGGTTTAAAAGAAGATAAATCAGGGGATGGGGCAAAGATGGTGGCAGATGACCTACTATGGCGACCCCCGAAAGTAATAGCAAAGAATCTGAAGTCAAGCTTTTACATCAGTATGTTCAGAGAAGGCCGCGCCTTTCCCACTATTGTCACCTAATCCTTGTGATATGTGATATTTATTAAAATACTAATATATGTTACAACAAAAACTTGCCACTTGTTATCATAAGATAATCGTAGCAAAAGAACATGTCTGTTTTTCTTCTCCAAAGTTACTCATTCCTTCATTACGCATTAACAACACAATGGAAACGGGTCAGAAGCTCGAAACTACACATAGCCGCCATTTCGTGATCTGAGTTTCATGTCAAAGCTGCCGGGTAACTTTTTAAATGACTCGCTATTACAAGCGACGTAACACGGTGTATGGTAATATGGAATACCGCACAATTATATAGTGATATTTAACTTTATTTTTTAAATATCGTAGCTTACGTTGGTAGTGAGAGTTATTACGAGGTACTTCACCGGTTCAGTCAGACAACGGGGCCGGACACGCCGCCATATTGCTTTTATGACTGAAGAATTATGCGTATTTAGGTACGTATTTTTACACGCTAAAATAGTGTGTGCTAATTTAGTAAAGTACGTGATTCTGCGAGGATATAGAATCGAAAGTGGACTCTTGGTAGTATCGCACGGTAATCTATTCTCGGACGATTGCGTAACGATAAAACAACAAATAATTGTCACAATAATTGTCCAAAAAGCGATTTAATTTCACATTAAACGTAAAAACGCTCGGGCAGATACGTAGTATAGCCGACATTGCCCCCGACAACAATTTTTTTAGCAAACATATAAAAGTTATATACGTTCAGTTGAGACATGTTTATTACTTGTTATTTCTAATAAAGTGTTGTTTTTTAACGTTGTCGTCGTTTATAGTAAAACGAAGCGTGTGGAGAGTCGACATTTATATCGGACATATCGTGGGGCTCTTTCTCGGGGTTCACTTCATTGTGCTTGCAGTCAATAGCTAGCCATCCTACGAGCGGACGGCCTCCCGTATTGTTTCGTCCAATTGATCCATCCCTTTAAAGAGCACGTCAGCAGCACGGCGTTACCTCTCGGAAATTGTGCTCTTTATTACAGACAGGAGCCGAGAGGATTCAGTCGTGTGTGGTATGTGCCTTTTATTACGTGTTTATATATGTATTTTTATATATATATGTATTTAAGAGCATCCCGTTTAAATGTTGGTTAGCTGAGTTACGCCGTACGGGACACCGTTCCTGTAATGTACCATTCAGTGTGTAGTGAGTCCTACACACAAAGACCGGTCTGGAAGGCTTTAGCTTCCTTGCGTAGCTGCAGACGGCTCACTTCAGCGCTGTTTCGCGGATTGTTGTAATAACATACATATGCACCGGTAGTGCGCGTCCATTACAAAGACTTTAAATGCTCACCGCAGTGTTGGAATACAGAAATATTCCCTCATATACTGCATCGTTTATAGATTGCTGTGGTAGCGGCGGTCGTGATGCATGTAATGCAACAATGCATTGTCCATTGTGGCCGTGTTGTTTTTTTTCGTGTGTTCGCTAAAAAAAAAATAAAAAAAACACGTACATTTATGGTTGTAGGTCAAACTTTTGTTGCCGGTATAAGTTGTGCAACAGCCAGGTTCGCGGCAAAAAGTGGACACCGCGAGATTTCGGTGTCAGAGTTGCCTTTACATTTAGCAGGAAGAGGAAGAAAAGGCAGTAGCGTGGGTCCATTATTACAGCCGCAGCCAGCTATAGAGGAACACTATGTACACAAAGATACAACGATTTTGCAGGAGCCGAGATTATGATTTTTTTTAAAAAAAATCAGGCATCATTAAATAAACCAACGCTCCAATAAACCAGAATGCAGGTTGACAGTAAATATATTGTCCACCCCAAGAAGTCAACCGTGGGAAGCCATCAGGAACAGAGCTGCTGTACACACGTGTTTCAGCTGCATCGACAGCTGCTGAATGATCACAGTCAGCAACTATGTATAAAGAGAAGAAAAAAGTCATTTCATGACATAAACAGAAAGCTACCCTGTATGTGTATTTAAAAGGATGTTTAAACAGATAGACATATAGAGTAGATGACTAGACTAATATAGAATTAAATGTACAAGCTGTGGCAGATGTCTTTATATCCATTGACAGCTGCTTAATTGCCATTGTTTGTTTCCTACACAGCTTTGGAATGGCAACTAAGAGGATTGTGGTTCCAAAATCTTCCCATGAAAAAAGCAGCCGTGCTTATATGGTGACCTGGATCAACAACCTGCTGAAAACAGATTTCAAAAATGTGCTGGAAATGGGTTCAGGTAGTCACTATTCATGCATTCACTTTTTTTCTTTTTTTAATAACTTTACTGTAATTCTCAACGTAGATGAGGTTTGAGTCGGTTTTAACCATTAAACAACAGACACAGATTTACTGATGTAAGAAAAACTTACCCACAATATATAACTTAACCAGCTGTTTATTTAAAAAAAGTCATTAAACGTATTTATCTGTTTGACCAGTTCTGATGTTGATGTAATTCCACAGGTGCTTGTCACTGCCAGATCATCAGTTGTGTTATACCTGGATCTGTTGACATGAAAGAGGTCAAATTTGATGCTCAGAGTGAGGACGAGTGTAAGCACAACTTTGCTCTCGTCCTCGATGCCTTCAGAAAGAACAACATTAAAAGGGTATGTCCTCGTCTGTTATTCCATTTACTCCAAACTAAGTTTTATGTTTCGGTCGTACTATCGGATCGTCAACTGCTCTAGGAATGTCATCATTTACCGACATCGTTGTTTTGATTCAGGACATTCCGGTGGAGAACATTATAAACAGAGAATTCAAGAGCAACTTTGACACCATTAAGTGGTTTAAAGTTTTTTACCAAGCAAATGTGAAGACTAAAGAATACAATGCTGTGGAAGCACGAAACGGACGCAACATCCTCCCCTTTGTAGCGTCTAAAGAATCAGGTAAATACAACTGCACATTTCTTGCTGTCTTAATAAATAGGACAGGTTTTTATGATGTTTTCTCTTTTTTTTTTTTCAGCAGGCCGTAACTTGGAGTCAGACATGGAAGAAAACTCCACTGGAAAGAAGGACAAATTCCCTTACAGTGAAAAATGGGAGAATACATTTGATTGGGTGGAACGCAGTAATCTCGGTGAACAATATACCTACTGCAGGATATGTGCCAGAAACATCGGAACATTTTGTAGAGGTTCCGTTGAACTTGAGTACCATGAAAAGACAAACAAACATAAGAAGAAGGCAAAGAACTCCAACAGCGCCCACATGCCAAGCCAACGCTCTGACCCGCTGCCCTGCAGCGACGCTGCTTTACAATTCATTCACAAACACTGTTTCAACGGCTCTGCCACGGAGGACTGGAGTTCTAGTACTTCTCAACACTTTGCGCAGTGCAAGCTGGGGCTGCAATACCCTGAAGATATCACGTCCGTTTGTCAGCGCACTCCTTACTGTGTTTACATTTACAGAGGAGTGACGGTCGGAAAGGACGACACGGTCTCTGTGCTGCTGGTTGGGTTTTTTGACGTCGACGCTGGCAGGCACCGCGTACGGTTTCTGGATGCCGTTCCATCGGATGATGATGATGATGTTGGAGATCAAACAGCCGCAGCAGTGGGCGAGACCTTAAAGAAATTTGGGTTACCTACAGATAACCTTGTTGCCATTTACTCTGAGGGCAGTAGTGTTTCTTTAGAGCAGATGTGCTCACAGCTCAGGGAATTTAACCCAAACACATTAGTCTTTACTGGATTGTACGGTGTTGGTGATGCTGCGTGTCAAGCTGGGGTCAAACAGCTCTCCAATCAGATTCAGGAGCTCGTGGCTGACATCCACAGCCACTGCTGTCACAGCTCTACAGAGAATGACAACTTTAAGGCCCTTTTTGGCTCAGGTCTCACCGGTGACAGTCCGGCGATTTTTAACAACATGAGCTGCCTTAACGTCAACCTGTTAGTGAAAAAACTGTTGGAATCATGGACGGAGTTGATGTCGTACTTTACTTCATATAACAAGGATGATGAGAAAGCAAAATCAATCAGCTCCCAACTGCAGGATCCCAAAGTCAGGGCAACATTTATGTTTTTGGAGCACGCCCTAACGCCACTACAGACTTTCCAGACACACGTGAAAACCTCAGAGGGAGATCCTCGATCAGCTCATTCACTGTCCACTCTCACAGAAGCCAGTAACCTTCTAAGCACCTACACTTCCTACTTCCTCCATCCTCAGGATGCTCTACGCTTCCTCGTAGAATTGGACACCAAAATCCTCAAGGCGGAGAAACATCACTTGTCAAGCCATGAAATCCGCGTGGGTGGGGAAGCAGTTCGAGATTTCCTGAGTGAATTCGGAGCTGCAGAGACGCTGTCATTTGTAGCACAAGAGGCATTATCCTTCTACATCGGACTCACTGAATGTATTTCAAAGACGTTGCCTTTAAGGGATGAGTTGCTAAGAAACATCGCTCTGCTTTTGAACCCCAAAAGTAAATTGAAAGTGACAGGAAAAGCTGTCGGGGAGCTTGGAAGCAATCTAGGAATCTGCGGTTCCCCCGAAGAGATCCAACAGCTCACAGAAGAATTCCTCAAGTATCAGTCAGCGGAGAACGTAGAGGAGAACGCCTCACTGGAGGAACACTGGACCGCTGTACTCCGAGATAACACGCTGAAAAAGTTCCCAAAGCTGATGTTGACTTTATTGTGTCTTCCATGTCCACCTCTTGATGGTCCGCACCTTTTTACTCAGGTATGATTTCAATGTTGTGGTTACATACAGTAACCCTGTGGTCTAACTGTGTGTGATCTGAAAACGTTGGCTTCTTCTCTCTCCAACATGTCAGGCCTTACAGAGTGGAGACGCTCCACAGGTGTCTGAGCGCGAGACTGACCACACCAGCAGTGAACACCTCTCAGGGTACATGGTCAACGGTGAGAATGGAACCAACAACCACATTTCATATATGGAGTAAATGTGAATTCACAACATTCTCAACATTTCTCCTCTTTTTCTTTTTTTTTAGAATTGAACGGCTACAAAATCAAAAAGTGTGAAGTTCGTCTCACAAAGATAATTGGTAAGTAAACTGTGCAGTTTTCACATCGCAAACTGACTAAAATGAAGTTTTATTTTTAAGTTGCCGTGTTTGAAACGTGCCGTCTATTTTTTTTTTTTTAAGATATGGATGGTGTCAAGCACAGGGATGGAATTAAGGTAATATATCACCTGCTTCTCAAAAAAAAAAACCTTGCCAAGAAATGTATTCAAAAATATGTCACAAATAGTAACAGTACATGCTGTTGACAGTATAGATATTGTACATGCTCTGTTCCAATGTTAGTAACTTGATGTTAAGCGTTGAAAAAATAAATAAATAAAATAAACGTGTTGTTTACCAGTGGACCTGGAAGGGAGGTCTCAGTCGGGACAGCAGCTTGCGTCAGAAGCCACGAGCTCGTTTGGTGTTTCAGGCTGGTTCCTGGACCGAACCCATTAATCCTGATGAAGAAGGAAGAACTGGGTTGGAGTCCCAAGATGAGTTGGTAAGTCTGTTCTATACAAGTGACAGGCTTGGCCACAAGTGGAACAAAGTACTGACATCAACAACTCAAAGGGCCAAAAGAAATAATTTCCTTCAGGGCAGATCAGGGTCAAGGATTTTGAAAATTTCTGTTTCAAAATAGAGTTGAGTATTTTATAACTTTCTGTTCTTTCAGCCTGAACAAACAGATCGGTCGACTGAATCTACTCCAAGAAGGAGAAAGAAACATTCTTATCAGGTAAAAAACGTGAATAGAATTCAGCTTCTGTGGAGTTTGTTCCAACTCTAAACATCTACGTGTTCATTCCATTTTACCAGGACGGGAAAGGCTTCCCATCAGGAGAGCTGGTCTGGGGGAAGGTGAAGGGCTTTCACTGGTGGCCTGGAATAGTTGTCCCCTGGAAAACAAAGTCCTCCACCCACGGCATGCGTAAGGTGGAGTGGTTCGGTGACGGGATGTTCTCCGAGGTTAGAACTTCAACTCTTCTGCGTTGATCCACGTTGACGACTTGGACTCTCCCTGAACCGTATCGGTGAACTCTTGTGTTGCAGATCTACACGGAGAGTCTCCAGTCGTTCCGTGCTTTCACCACGTGCTTCTGTAAGAACTCCTTTGCCAGCCTGCCGTTATACAAACAAGCCATCTACCAGATTATTGAGGTAAAAGTGTGGAAACAGTTTGACCAAGAATTTGATAAGAAATGATCAGAACATGAGTTTGACAGACTCCTAGTGTTGGCCATGTAATGAAGCAGGGCATAATGAAGACTAAAACTACTCTGGTGTTTCTTCACGTCTGTGGTGGTGTAGTTGGCAGCCGAGCGATGCGGGAAGTCATTTGCGGAGGCAGAATTCGACAAAGTGTTGACGATGATGTTGGACTGGGCGTTTGAAGGATTTCTCCCTACAGGACCTGAAGGGTTCATGTCTCCTGGTATGTCCACAACAACAAACTGATCAAAACAGCCATCCGAGAGAAGGGCACAGAATTTATAGGTCAAATTTAAAAAAACATTTTTTTTTTCAAAGTATTTTACTAATACAGTTATTGTAAAACACCTCTAAATAGCATTTATTTTGTATTAGTTACAGTTTTTAACACCTCTAAATAGCATTTATTTTGTATACAGACCTTTAGTCTCTTAGTTATTGCTTCAATTATACGTCATATTTTTTGAAAGTACAGTTTCATTTTCAGCCAAGAATCTTTAACTGTACATTTATGAAGTCATAAATAGTACTGCAGTAAAGATAAGCTATGTTTTTTTTAGTGACAACATTTAAATAATTAATTAAACTAAAGTTGACATTATTGTGTCGCTAGGGAACAGGTAAAAGTTGCCCGTTTATTTGAAGTTGTTATTTAATTGTACAATAAAAACCTTAAAAATGCGTCTTATTTCCATCTCTAAGATGCAAACGCCACTTCCTCCGACTCCGCCCTGTCCGACTACCAGCCTCCTCCAAAGAGGAAATATGTTTTTAAAAACAAGGCCAATGCAGCTGTTGCGCTCTATAAACGAGGTAACATCATATCATTGTATCTGAAATCAACCTGATTTGTTGGGGGTATTTTTTAAAAATTTTTTCTTTCTGTATTTTCCATGTGTAGAATCAATAATAAAATCACTCAAAAAGAACGGCAGCAGCATCGAAGGTAAGTTCTGTTCGACCCACAGAGGGAAGTCGAAGATTCAGATTTGACAAAAAACAGGACGTCAAATGTTAACGGCTTGTTTCTCCAGATACATGTTTGTCGTGTGGATCAACCGAGGTCGAAGCCCAACACCCACTGTTTGTAGGCGGTCTCTGTCTCAAATGCAAGGTAATCTAACCCATCCCATAATATCTCTGCCACGTCGACATCACAAACTTCATCTCAGTCCAGTTTGTAGATGTTCTCACTTCCATCTGAACCATTAACATCCCAAACACCGCTGTCGTTGTAGGACAACTTCACGGAAACGCTGTTTCGCTATGACGACGATGGCTACCAGTCGTATTGCACCGTGTGCTGTGGCGGGTCAGAGGTCATTCTGTGTGGCAACGCCAGCTGCTGCAGGTCAGTACATCGTTAGAACATCGGCCTGTGGTTGTTGTTGTCTTGTCAGTCATTCCTTTGACTGACTCTTCGACTGACTGGTTCTCTTCTCCAGGTGTTTCTGTAAAGACTGCGTAGAAATCCTGGTGGCACCGGGAACCTTCGACAAACTCAAAGACATCGACCCCTGGAGCTGCTACATCTGTGTGCCTTCAGAATGCAACGGAAGCCTCAAACTCAGACCAGACTGGAGTATGAAGATCCAGGACTTCTTTGTCAACAACAGCGCCATGGAGTTTGTACGTACCATTCTGACCACTGTAGAGACGCGATGCCGTCAAATTAGTTTGTAAAGTCGGATTTAGAGGCTAAAGAAGCGGAACTGTCTCCGTTAAGATGGACTGATTGACTTTGCATCAAATATTTAAAGAATACTACAATTACTCACGTGATGAATAGACAAAATGCTGCAGCAACATTATATATACATATACTGTATATATACATATATACACATACATATATACACATTTTATTTACATTATATATTTTCTATCCAACAGGAGCCTCACAGAATTTATCCCTCCATTCCTG